AGCTGCTGGGTAAAAGGTGGTTGGGATAAACAGAACAGTAATATCTCAGATTTCAGGTATATACTGCTATGGCCTCATAGATACAGACCCATCAAACTCTGAAAGAGCAGGAATTTGATTTTTCAAGACCCTTAGAACTCAGCAGAGTGACTTTGCTGTTATTTTCAGTAAAGTCTTTGTAACAAGAAGGAGCAAGGGAAGAAAAACCACAAGAACTGACTTTTAAAGTCAAACCTGACACAACTGCAGTGTGTGACTTTTGGCATCATCGTCAAAGTGCTAAAGCAGTAAGAGCTTCAGGGATGTGACAGCTTTGAAAAACAAGGCCAGTGCTCCCTGTGCCATAGTGTCTCTGTCTAAAGAATGTGAATAATAATGTGTTTTAATTCACAGGGACCTTCTATACAAATTATTTTTCTTCACTTTGAGAGCCCCAGATATTAAAATGTCATAAAATTTCTCTTTGTCTGTCTTTCCACCTCTCTAATAGTGTGTCCTGGAAAAAAGGAAACTTGACTGTGTAACCAGTTTGAATGGGCTTCAGACCGTACGCCCATTCTTGCTCACATTTTTCTGGCATTACCGTTTACTCACTATACAGAGCACGACCCCATTCTGCTTGAGAACAACAGTGACATTCATCTAAATATTTCAAAGGGAAAATTTGCCTTGAAATGCATCCTTCTGTCCTTTTATTTGGTAACTGGTTTGTCATAACAGGTATTATAAAGATGTTAATGGGCATTTATACTGAGATTCCAGTAGCTGACTTGTGAATATGTTGAGCTGGGACAGAGGAGGAGGAACAAAAGGTGGAAAAGAGGGAAGAAGAATTAGATGAGAGACAGGGAAGAGAGCTATATGTAAGAGGGAAGATTAAATCTCTAAATCTTTCAATGGCAAACATTCTCTTCTCCTTCATAGTCTACAACCTTCCCGATTTAGGAGGTTGGGGCATAAGATTGTGTTATTATATCCAGCCTCTGGTCATCACAGGTAACTATGCTACACATTTAGCTGTACATGTATGATCCCGGTGAGACTGCCTAAATTTAACTGAGGACTTCTCACTGATCAAGGATTTGAAAGGAACTGTATGCTCAAAATGAAAGCCAGGAGGAAGTGGAGGCACTCAGCATGTTGAAAAGATAAGTTTGAGCATAAGATGTGACTGTGCAGCCATTCTTGATGTCCATGAGAACTTTGTCCTGTGGGTAGACTTGTGGGAGGGTCAGTGAGATGATGTCTGAAGTGTCACATTCAGCAGAGTGACAAAACAATGGCAAAATTGATCTCAGAACAGTGTAAAAATCATTAGGAGACTAGCTAGTACAGGCTTAAACTAATGCAAATTGCATGGGTAGAATGAGGGACGGAGATGATAATTACATATTTTCAGAAGTAAACCTTTTAAAACTTGGTTAAGTAAATGTTATTCATGTTTTGTTAACAAACCAGACAGACACCTAGACAAAAGCATCACATTTTAGGTACTAAACTGTAGGAAGTGATGGAAAAGACTCAGTTTTGGGAGATGTGTCTTTAAAATGATCCAAGTAATGATAAGGTTGTCTGTGACTTGGTTTGGTTCTATTGATCAACTAGTGTTTGCAAATCAAAATAATGTAAAAATGCTCTAATTATTAGTTTCATCAGTTCTCAAGTCTTTCATTTGTTGTTGTAGCATGGATTAGAAGAAAATCTTAGGTTTTTGAAAAAATTCCCTGCCTTGGAAGGTATCATTGTGATTTTTTCTTGCAAATTGAAAAGCCTTCTCTTGTCAAGCATTAAGCTTCTGATATTCACTTTTGTAAGAGCACCAAAAGTACCTGTGTTCTGTCAGTAGCTGCCAAAGTTCTCATCACCTCCCCCATCACCTTGCTGGATAGTTCTTAAAGGCAATAGTGTCTTTTGCACCAGTGTGATTTTTTTACTGTGCACACATATGTGTAACATGAGAATAGCATAGACCTGAAGGGTGAAGCATGTACATAATGGTCCTATGGGACAAATTAATCCTAAAGGCTTCTGTTCAGTGTGCCATTTCTCTTAAGAGGATTTACAGGACGTGGAGGCTACATATGCTGGAGAAAGGTGTAGGATGTATTTGAGATGAGGTGGAATGCTACCGTATAGCGTAAGTGTTGCCATGGAAAAATGAGTAAAGTCATATGGTGAAAAGAAAATACATCTGCCTGGGAAATTTGCCATAGCGTGGGGAAAAAAATAAAAGTTAACTTTAACGAAAACAAGATCCAGTAGGGAAGCTGTTTAGGCCAATTTCAGATGCCATAACTTGGCTGCTTTCACTCCAGTACTGGCCAGCTCTGTCACATTACTATTCAAAATATTTTCAAGATTGCAGCTTGTGAAATTGAGTCCTGGAGTGCTGCCAGGTGGCCTGGATCAATGGGAAAGGGCAGCAGCACAAGAAAAAGAGTCATGGAGTAAGGGATAGAGATGGAATATGGCGCTCTGCCTGGGTGCTGTCCATCTCATGCAGAACAATGGAGCAGAGCATATCTGTGCCCTCGCCGAGATGTGTTTTGTCTCTCCAGAGAGTCACAGGCCCTTTGCAAGGTCTGCCAAACCAACCTCACTCACTTACATGTAATGTGGTGTTGTGCAGTATTGAACTGAAGAGCATGACTCTCCATGCTTTGCATTGCTGTTGGCCCTAAAAAATAAATAAATCAGATCACCCCAAAGACAAATCCTTAATCGTGGTGACTTGCACCATGTTCTGGACATCAAAACCCTCAAGTCATAGAAGGAAGTGCTATCATTCAGTGTTTGCCATTGAAAACTTCCTCTCACTCCTCCCCCAGGCACACACAAAGGCTGTTCATACGAAGCGTTTTCATAAAGGGTTCCTAGGAATGCACCAGTAGCTTGAGTTGCATTGGGAGATTCCTGAGGCAGGGGTGGAAGTTAATGTGCTCATTCTGAAACATACACAGTGGGATATTTTGCACCAGTGAAAGCTTCCTGAAGCCTTTCAGTTCTTCTCCAGTGGCTTTTCAAGATCATAGCATACCATCTTTAAGGATGACAGGACATGTCCGCGTACAGCATATTGCTGTGTACCAGAGGACTGAGAAAAAAGCAAATCTCTGCATCTTCCTAAAAATTCAAAAAGAGGTGAAGAAGTAGCTGTAATGGCAGACTTTTTGTCAAGACAATGAGCAGGCAGTTCCCTGAAAGATGCTCATTGAGTTTCATTTCCAACTTTACAGCATTGCATTTATTGTTGTTGGCCACATTCAGAGGGAAAACTAAGTTACATTTTGAAGATGCAGTTAGAATTTTGGAGGTACAAGTGCTTATTTCTTTCAAAATTGAATCTTCAGACATGTAGAAATAAAGGAACAAAGATACTACGTATCAGCCCTTGTTTCTTCACTGCAGATCCTGGTATCTTGTCTGAGATGTTTGCAATACATCTTAGCCAGCTGATGAAAGACTAGATCAGACAATCTGAGACAATTGACCTTTAAAACTGAGCCCTTAACAAGAGAGTTTTTCTTCTGAATTTATTATGCTTTCTTCAAAGTATTATAACTTTATGAAGCATGGGTTTGGGTGGTTTTTTTTTTTCCATTTTAGAGGGTACATAGCAGAATTTCATCCAAATTAATGGAGTTTAGTTATGATGACATAACAGTACATAAAACTGAATGTTAAGAAAGCTATCGTATACTAACCTGTAAGAAGTAAAAAGGCTGCTATGGTTCCTTTTCAGAGCTGGGAGATTCAGATTTTTTCTCCACTGATTTTCTGTCCCTTGATTTCCTTATCTGTAAACCCAGTGTTAGAGGATATTTTGAGATACATAAGAGTATAAGGGGAGGAGGGACTACGCTTATCCTCATGTTCAGTTCCCAGAATGAAAAAACAACATGGAAGAGATAGCTAGTTCAGAGAAACCCGTAGTACAGCTACTACACACAACACAGGCTACAAACTGTGGTTTAGCAAATGAAGGATAAAACCTGTAACTGAAGACTTCTAGCCACAGTTATAAGGTATTGCAGGAAGAGTAGGAGATGGGAAGGACATCACCAGTGTCCTGGGTTTCTGTGCCAGTGGAAGACTGGTTAAATAAAAATTGCAGGTGATGGAAGGAAAGAAGGAAATAGAGCATGTCCCATGCTATAGAGAGCTGTGGGGTGTGCTAAGGGGATTTGACCTGGATGGGAAATTCCCTTCTATCCCTGAATCTGGGTATCAAGTGGATTTTGAGGAGGTTCTCATCTTCCAGGAACTGAGAAACTGATACTGATAGAAGCGCCTGCAGATCCCGCTTATGTATTGTGTCTAACTACCTCTAGAGAAAGGCATCGGAGAAAGGCAGCTGCACAAACCACAACCACCCCTCACTTGGTGGTCGGTGAAGCTATATTACAAAAACCTTGCCTACTGCAAATGATCCTATAATGCAGTTTTTAAAATATATAATAGTGAACAAAAAGCAGTCCAGTCTTCCAACCATCCTTGAAAATACGAATGAATCAGTTACCCAAGGACTCGTACTGCAATTTAATTTTGATGAATTAATTAATCTATGTTTCTTTAGACTGCTGTGATCCTGGAGTGGCTGGTGAATTCTTAGTGGCTCCTCCTTTCTGTTTAGACTAAGCTGTTCAAGGCAGGGACTGTTTATGGCTGTCTCTGTAAGAGACAGAAGACTTGTATGCAGACCTGAGAAACTTGTAAGCACTACTAGAATTCAATATTGGATGAAAAAAATTGCATTTTAAAACATTATTAAAAGGTTTTACAGGAAACAGTGATTTCTAGTCTTAGCAGCAGTTTTGTATGAATATATAGATTTTGTTCCCTATACACTTAGCTTTGTCCTCTGGTGATTATTGCTGGAGAAGAGAATTCACTGGTATTACTGCTTGCTTACTTGTGGCCTGAACTTGTAATGCAGAGTCACAGTCTGGGTTTGTTTTTTTTTTCTTTTCTTTTCTTCTTTTTTTTCTTTGTCCTGACAGAAAGATTTCGGGATTTACTGATTCTACATTCAAATCAAGATACAGAGATTCTGCCCATCTTTCAGCAGAGGCGCTATCCCAAGTAAGTAAGATTGTCTTCTTGGGAGAAATAAAATATTTATCCATTAGCAGTGAGGGAGAGCGAAGCATTTATGGCATTGTACATGCTTTTGGTGTGAAGTCCTAAGGCAGAGCTGTCAGGGACCCACACTTGCACTGAGCTTTGCCATCTTTCAGTGGTGTCAGGGAGAAGCAGACATGCTTTGCAAGCATGCCCAGCTGTCAGCGTGGAGGTGGTGGTGGAGTGCAGATGCTAAGTTGCCTGGATCAGTGTCTGGTGCAGCTTTGTTTCACTTGACACAGTGTTGACATAGGCAGATGTTTTGTCAGGCTAATCCCCACTCTTGTCTTGTGGGATTCTGTCATTTATGGTGACAGATTCCATTGGATTTTAACAGGCTCCCCTCTGGAAGCCTGCAAGCACTAGAAAACAATTTTTTCTGCCCTTTTTAGCGATATATGTACAGGCAAACCAAAAGAGTAGTCTTGTGTGTTTAGGAGGTCTTACATGTATTGAGTATCCTGGACAAAACCTCTTCTCCCAAGTGACATACCTGAACGAAACAATGCGTGCTCCTTGTTATTATGTTGGTTAAAAGAAACAGTCACTTTCAGCTAAGTCTTGAAAAGAGGCAGTGAAGGGGAAAGAAGAAGCAGAAGAAGCAGAAGCAGAAGAAGCAGAAGCAGAAGAAGAAGAAGAAGAAGAAGAAGAAGAAGAAGAACAAGAACAAGAACAAGAACAAGAACAAGAACAAGAACAAGAAGTCTTATGCATTAACCATAACCAGAGTGAGCAATGAAAGAAGACCAGTGCAGGATGGACAGACGGAAGAGAAGGAAGAAAGAATATCTGGAGCAAATCCAGCAATGGTGAAGCAAATAAGCAAAGTTACTTATTTTAATTATTATTGTTAGCAGGTTCCTGAAATGCATAAGAAGCGACTGGAGCTAAGTGTTAAATACTGCTCTTAAAATCTGATAATATGATTTTTTTTAAGAGCAGGCAACAAATAGAGGGGCTGTGTGCCAAAAACCAGTCACCTCGCTGTGAATACTTGAAAATAAAGGCACTCAAGGGTGAAATCCTGATTCTGAAAATGGTGAAATTTTGCATTGACTTTAAAGGAGACAGAATTTTATCCCCCTGAATTTATTGTTTGCATTATCCATTGTCACTGTTTTACTGGAATACTATGGAGGTACAATATATGAAACTGTGGGAGACACCTTATGTGGATGGACTGGTCTACTTGTTTCACTAGGACTTCCATGAATTATCACTTTTCTCCTCATGCTGGAACAGTTATTTTTCCATGGTGTAGAATGCTTTGCTTGGCTTAGATGTTTTCAGTTATGGTATGGACACTGTCAGACTGGTCTGAGAAACTAGTTTATCATCCTTCCTCAAAGAACAGATTTGTTTCTATATAAATCATTCCTAAGGTGTCTGACTTTCCATTTCCTTACCTTCAATTTATTGCTAGCATTCTTGGCAAGTACATCTACTAGCAATATTACACATTGTCAGATTCATGGGTGAATGAGTGCCAGATGTCTTCTGTTCAATGGATGCTTCAGCTCTTTGCAGATCATACAACAAATAGCATGTAGTATGGAGCTCTATTGCTATCTGAAGTTATAGTGGCCTTGAATCACAAGATGATACATGTTTTCAGCTACATTACTTGGCAAGATTGACTGATTCCTCTAATATACAAAATCAGCCAAACTTTGACACCTAACTGAAAGAGAAGTTTGCGTATGTTCTTAAAAGCAATAATTTTCTGTTTATAGTATCATTAACTGGTACAAATTTTCTTGCTGGTTACAGAAATTTATCATTTATTATTGGTCATTTAGAAACTGGTTGACTATTGACATGTCCTAATTTCCTGAGGGGTAGTCTTTCAAGTGAAATACTTGAGTTCAGCAAGGTAGAAAACCTTTCATCTTCATATTTTTGTCTTATTCCCATGTCAGTTTTTTCCCTTCCCTGTGTTCATTTGCATTGAAAGATCAGTTAACAGAATGAGATAATGAACAGACAGATCTCATAAATCAGTGTCCCTTCATTGACTTCAGCTGAGCAATGGCTGGTTGTACTACATAAGGATCTCAGCAGTAAGGTCATTTTAATGAGATGTTGTCATGGGGCACAAGCTGGAGCTTGTGATGCTTAAGTAAATCCTAAGAATATGGAAGGTTAAAAATAGGGAGAGAAATTCTAGTAATGACTTAGCTGAATAGCTTGACTAAGCAGGGCTTGGTAGGTAGAAAGGACAAAAGTTTGCACATATTTAAGAGACATACGTCCAAAGGAAGAACGTTGGATAGGAAGATGTTCAGCATCTCTCAGAATATTCAGTCATAGTAATAAATATTAAATGCTAAATGAGCAAATGATAATCCATCAGTTTTTGACAGAAATAGAAACCTTCATGTTCTGGCCTGAATTATGTTCTTGTACATTTATTATATTAAGACCTGAACTCTTTACC